TCGGTCCTTTCTCCAGGAGGTCATCTGCAAACCCCGTTCCCGTCTCTTGGGTCACGCTGGCTCTGGCAACTGCCCTGGCCCAAGCCAATGGTCCTGGCAAAGGTGGAGGAGCGGGAATCCTCCGGCTCGGTTGGTGCAACTCCAACCGCAACAGGGCAGATTGTTTTGGACAGAGCTTCTGACTATGCACTCTTCCACAGCTATAATCAGATGCGATTATAAATCAATTTTATACGCGCATTCCTTCCTTTCCAAGACTGCTGCGGATTAGGGCAGTTGGAAGACTGCCATCTCAATTACTTCTTTTTCTGCGGGGGAGCAGAATAAGGAAAGGACTAAAGGATGGAATCATCTCATTCTTGCTTTTCCCGGGCGTGACCATTTGGGGAGGCCTCGCAGCTCGGCAGCACGGTGTGCTTTCTGTGTGCCAAGGACTCCAGGTAGCCCCCCACTGCCCCCCATATCCCTAGTTGGGAGGACCAGGTTGCATGTGACGGGAACGCGGCCTGTCTGGAGCCCTGAGCAGCCTTCATCCGTTGGGGCAGACGAGGGTCCGCCAGTCGGCTGTTCTTCCCATGTGTCCACTCCAGCCTCCATCATCCCTGGCTAGAATGGCGCTGCTTGGGAGAGGCCACCCTCGGGACGCAAAACGTGCTCCCAGGCGAATGCCTCTTGCCAGGTGGATGTGCAGGCGCCCGCCGGGAAGGCTTTTCTGCTGGCGGAACGCCCTTGGCGCTGCGAAGGCAGGGGCAGATGTGGCGGCTGCACCGCGCACCAAACCTGGTTCACACCGCATTCTTTCCGGGGGGCTGGCATTCCTGCGAAGGGGACAAGAGGCCTGCGCCCAAGCGTCCCCAGTGCCCTCGCCCACCCGGATTCCAGAATACTTGGGTGAGGGCAGGAAACCGATTTGGCTTCCTAGGGCTGAGTCTCCACCCCTCGCCCCCCAACCAAGTCTGCCCCACTCTCTGATCTGGCTCATGGCTCCAACTTGGAAATCCCCGAACGTCCCATTCCTAGCCCCCCGAGCAGGGCGGCAGTGGAACCAGGGCTCACACGTTCGGGACACCTGGACATTTCATCAGTGGGATGCCAGAACCACCTGCCCCGTCGCAGAATCCCCTCTTTCCTCGGAGGCTGCACTGACCAGGTTTGTGCGATCAACCTGCCCCGTGGAGACTCGCCCGCACACCAAGCTGCCCAGCAACGGTACCTGTGCAAATCCACTCAGCAGGCTCGGTGGAGGAAGTGGGCACCCACACCTTATTTCCGCCTCCGAGACGGTGCAACCCAGCCCTGTATTGGGATGGGGGCTGCACCCTTTGCCTGCGAAAATAAGAGTTGTGAGCTGCCCTCGCAGAAATGTGGTACTTCAGCAGCAGCCTGGTCTTGAAGGGGCCACTAAAATTCAGGTTTGCACCGTCACCAGAGCCCCCGTGGCTCCTTTGCCCAGGGGCCGGCGTGCCTTGCGGGAGCCAGCCCGGGCATCCAAGCCTTGCTGGTCTGGCTTCTTGCTGCTTGCGTGCATGAGCCACCCAGAAGCCGCGGCCTATTTTAGGCTTGTGGGTGGCTTTTCACATGGAAGAGCAAGCGATTCAGGCCCCGTATGAAAACCGGTGGCTTAGGACACACGAACCAGGCCACAGAAGGCCTGCTCCAGGTGGGAATGACCGTGGCCGGCTGCAGATCAGAGCAGCTCCGGGCACGTTTGGACTCTCCTTGGGGCATGGCAGGGGGCTGCTGTGACGTGCACCAGCTTCCTGAGCTGGCCCAGCCTTGGCTTTCCCTCCCAGCAGCCCCTTCCCTCCTGCTGGCACAGTTGCCGAAACATCCCAAGACTGACGGCAGCTGCTCGGCAGGGCCAGCAAGCAATCAAGGAGCGGGAGCAGGTGGCAGGGCCTGCAGCATTTAATCCCGGCCCGCACACTGCGCTCTCCAGTTACCCAAGGATGGAGCGGAAGGAAACCCCGAGGGCTGCAAAGGCTGGGAATGCAGGGCAGCATTCCCGGCTCCAGAAGGCCCCCTGTGGAAAGCGAGGGGCCCCAGAAGTGCCGGATTTTGCATGCGGCACTTTTCCTCTTCAAGAAGCTCAGCTTCAGATGCTGAAGAGGAAAGAGGAAGGGAGAGGCTGGGTTGGAGGCAGGGCTTGGCACGGGGCCCCTCCAAGGCCCACATCCCTGGTGGGGTGCCTTGCCAGTCCCCGTACCTCTTCACCCTGCCGCTGTTTGTACGCCTCCCTAAGGGTGCAGACTGGGAGAGAGGCAAGGAGAAGTGGCAGCTCCAGTAAAACCTCCTCGGAAGTGACTTTATCCCCGACTTTATTGTCTCCCCGCCTTCTCTTTGGGAGGCTGCTCTGAGCAGTCCAGGGGAGGGACAGGCAAAGGGGCACGAGTGACAGCGGGAGACAGGGAGTGAATCAGAGAGACTCCTGGAACCCACCTGGACGCAGAGGCGTGTGTGTTTGACCTTCAAACGTGTCGTTACAGGACTCTGTCGTTGTTCAGAAGGGGTGGGTGACCCCTGCTTTTCAGGTAATGGTTATCTGACATGGGGGGGTGGGACTGACCCTCGCTAAAGGCAGCAGATACCACCACCTTCCTTCCTTGCCTTTGGTCAGTGACCAAGGGCCAGGTAGCAGCCTCAAAATGCCTACCTGGGAAACCCTGCTCCACCTCACTCAGACCTTGCTCACCTGTGCAAATCGCAGCATCTCACATCTGGCCACAGATGGTCACAAACTGTTCCAAGTCACAACTTCTCAACCCATGCAGCTGTACAAAGAGGGACAACTGTGCGATGCCTGCACACTTCGTTGCCTGCTAGTTGTGAGGCACTAGGATGAGTAACTCGCCGTCTACCTGGCAGTGCAAGCTGGTTTAACCCACTTCAGCCCTGCTGTGCCAAGAGGCAGGGCCTTCCCTCCTTGCCTCGACCTCCCTTCTTCAGTCTGGAAATACGAATAATGCAACCTTGGCCTACCTTTCCAGGATTCTGGTGGCCAAGTGTGGGACGTCCTTTCCGCCATTAAAGCTCTCCCTCTGTGCCACTTGGTATATTATCAGCCACATGGAGTGTGCTCCAGGACGGGGGGGGGATGATGGGTCTTTCTTGTACAGTGCTCAGGTTGCGACACAGAGGGGTCCCAGCACAGGGAAGCGAAAGGCTAGTGCAGCTATGCTGGCAGTGGAATTCTCAGCAGGCTTCCCTGGTAAGAAAAAGACGGACACAGCAGCAGAAAAATGCAGGCAGCAGATGGTGGTGCCTGCACCCTCCCGCCCATAAAACCCCAAGAGGGATGCAGGGCCGGCTCCAAAAAAGCCTCCTCAGAAGCGGCTGCATCCCAAGTGAACGCCCGTGTGCAGAACTGCTCCTTCGACCGACGGCAGGTGGCGTGACTGATCCAAACATGCCGTGTTGCCGTCCGGCTCATGAGCCGGTCGCTCTCGCGGGGCCCCCAGGCGCTGAATCTGCGGCAACCTGCGCGCAAAGCAGGCGCAAAGCTGCCCCGCAGCTGAGGGGCCGCCCGCCAGGTCAGAGCTCGGGTTCCAGCAGCTCAGGGAAGGGAGGAGGAACCCGCTTTCAGGGCCATCCTCTGACGTGTGGATCCTCACCTGCTGCTCGCAGCGGGTGGGAAATGGCAGCTGCCCTTTTCTGGATGGGGCAGAGCCCCGAGTTGCCCTCAGGCAAACGGGCGAGCAACAGCTGGGCGCTGCAGGCAGCTCTTCCTTGTCCCCTGGCTCAGGACTGGCCTCTGAGCATAACTGTTCGGGGGCACCGATAAAAGGCAGAGTACAGAAATGGCTACCGGGGCTGCAAAATGCAAGCGACGGCCTTTGGAAGGGGAACTTGAGCAAAGCGGAGGCGCTTTCTTTGCTTGCCAGTCTTTCACAGCTCAAATCAGGGCAGGGTCGCGCGTCTAGCGGAAGGCTCTCCGCAGCCTTGCAGTGCTGAAGGTCCTTGGCCGAGTCTGGCGGGCAGACAACATGGCTCACATCTTTCATAAGCCTTTCCGGAGGGCTGGAAACATCAAAAACAACATAAAAACCTCCCCTCCCAGGGTGCAGAAGAAAGAGTTCCGTACTCCCAGCTCCGAACACTTTGTTCCTGTCCAAGGCTAACCTCTGCACTCACCTGCCCCTGGCCGCCTCCTCGGGGCCTCAGAGCGATCTCCGCGCCCCTGCACGGGAGGCAGGCAAGCTTGCCCGTGACTGAAGGACCCTCTTTCCTCTCTGCCCCATCAGCAAAAGCCCCCCCCCCCGCGCCATGACCTGCCAAAAGGCGGGCTCCTGCGGCAGAAGGACGCGGGGCTCGCCGTGGAAGCGAGGGAGGAATCCGGGGGCGCAGGCAACGCAGAAACAAATCAAGGGTGCCGGGGAGGGCGGGAGAAGCAGAGGGCCGCCCGCGTGTCCCCTGAGAAGCAGGACAGCCGCGGGGAACCTCTCTTTACCCACCGCGTTTGACGCGAGAGCGCAGGTCCCTGCCCAGAGGGGCTTCCAATCGGGGAAACGGCTCAGGCGACTCCTTCCGCCGCTCCGTCGGGAGGGCCAGCCCCGCGCCGAAGGGCGGGCGGGCGGGCGGAGGGGGCGGGCAGGCCAGCGCCCCTCGGCGA